GAATTGCTTAGAAGCATACTACGGCTCTTTGCGATGCGCCATTGTCAATTTATTATCAGGGCGATGGAACGATTCGTAGAGGGCTTGGTTATTCCATTCTGGACTCGAACTGTTGGGAGTATCAGCTCCATCTTTGTTTCCTGGTCGTCAGTTATGGATATGCACAAGGTCTAGGGGGCAGATTTTCTGCCTCGGAAACTGGCCAAAATGGAAAGCTGAAAATTTCATGTGATGGATTCTGTCAATGTGCACCACTGCAAATTCAAATTCAGCTTTCATTTTTATCATGTCTTACGTATAAACACGTAAAATTCCACGCTGAAATTTAGTTTGGCAACCAGCCAGCATTTCGACTATTTCCCATATATACACACACACATATACGCCGGATATGTCGGCCGAGAAGATGGACCATTTGGCGTGGAAGTGTCGCACTAAACTGTAAAACAGTCAACATTCCTAATAGCAAGCATCAGCTAGACGGAACTGTGTAAAATACATGATCGCAGGACTTTGTGTTGCGCACCGCTACTTATTTAATATTAAGTTTTCGTGTGAATTTGAATTTAGAAGACATCGAACAATTACTATATGCCCACGAAAGCCCCGTTCACATCAACGCCGGATATGTCGGCCGAAGAAGATGGACCATTTGGTGTGGAAGTGTCCTATGTGGATACGGAGAACGAGGATAACGACGATTCCGAGGCAACCATTCCAGCAACGGAGATAATGATGCATGTCCACGAGGACACGCCAGCCACAGTGCGGTACGTCAGTGGAGCAGTGATTCTAGACGACGCGACGCCCGACTACAGCACCAGTTCCGGATCGGCCAATAACACACACGATGAGGTCGGCAGTTGGATTGACCTTTTGACCCTTGTTCCATATTGATTAATAGTCGGCACCCCTCTGCGCTATGTTTTTGCTCTCAAAATGCTTTCTACATTTTACGCTTTTCCAAAGAAATTAAAATATACAGCTTGTGAAAAAGTACTCTGCATTTTATCAGCCACTGTTAATTTCTTTGTACTTTGTTTTGTTTTGGTCTTACCAGACAAAATCGATTTTTCGTTGATCCGTTTCTTACCACTATATAAATTCTTCTTAGAGAATGCGAGTCTGCGCATTGCCTGAGTCATTTAGTTCCCTCTCACTTTGAAAAGTTAGTAACCCACTAACATTATCCGCGCTGTCAAATGCAGTCGGTAATCTTCATTTCACGGCTTTAATTCCCATTATACACATTCAAAACTGAATCATTCCGTCTTACTTACAGTGTTCCGGACGTCTACCGAGCACCCCGTGAGTACCACTACTTGGTAGTTCTTGTTCACGCTAGTGAACTTAGCAGTTAGATAACTGACGTTTCTCAGTTTTGAAATTATTATAAATCTGTATTTTTGAAAGTCCGTTTGATGTGGCACTTAATAAATTTCATTTAAATATATTTTCCAAAATGCTGAAGCAGCCGGAAAATTATTTCCAATCATCATATTAAATACATGTATATGTATTTTCATCAAATATTAAACATATTTTCATATTTATCATGATTAATATCTTCATTATGTTTGATTAGCAGCAGTGAAATGCTGGTCGCCTCACAGACTAAGTCCTATCTGCGTGGATAATTTCAAAACAACTGTCTTATTCCTTAATTACCGCTGCTCAGATGATCTTTTTGAAAACACCCTTCTTGCCTTGCACCAGGGGCATG